CCCAAGCCTTGGTGCCAAGTCTGAATTATTGGTCTATTATTCACAACTCAGTTTAGTTAAAACTGTTGTCAACCACTTGCTTTTTTGTCATAATATCTTGGCCCTACATAAGCCTTAATTCTCATCTCAAAAAGTGGGAGAGGTAATAAGAGGGGTTTCGAAGAGAGAAAGAAGTGGAGGGGACGAGAATTTTTTTTAACATGTAAGACTATAAATAAGCACCACCTATAAAATTGAGTCCATGCCAGTGACTATAATCCTCCACATTTTTAAACTGATCTAGACTCTTATCTCCAATGGGCAATTAGCAAAACATCTCTCTTTGTGATGTTAGTACATAATAAAGCAAACAGTCATACTCTAACCAAACCACCCTCTGCCAAAAAGGGTCCAGCCCTTCCAGCTCCCATCATTCAGGAAAGTGGGTTGGGGGTGGAAAGGGGAGGGGTTGCGAAGCTGAACCTCCAGGCACGTTTCTTAAAATTTCAATTGCTGAATCTCTGATCCATCCAGACTTCTTTCAAATGGCCATGATCGATGGCAAACATTGTAGCTGCAATTGATTATAACAAGTCTGGAGAAAAGTACGCAGAAATGCAGCCAGAATATAAACATGGGACACGATGATTTTCTAGACAACCCGAGTGCAAATGGTTATTTTATCCACACACTAACAAAATCTTGCTTTGTAATGTTAAATATTTTTAACAACTTTTTGCTCAAATTTGTCTTAATTTAGATGAGAATGATAGGGAAGGCCAACTGGATAAAAAATGCCAATCACCACTAAGAACATATTCAGAGTATAAATGCCACAAAAGAAAAGCACGGGGACTCCAAACGACATGCACATCCAATAAGTCGCAATCAAGCCAGTGTTCAACTACTTGTTCTGCTAAAAATGTAGATACCATGGAAGAGCCAAAAGAAAGTTTCCCTAGTCAAAAAAGACAAGCAACGGAACTTCAAGATTTATTTGATCAGATACATGCAGAACAACTTTTAATTGAGCCAGTGGAAAAGTACCAAGAAGAAAAAGACCAGAAGGTAAATAAACCAAGTTCTTTTTATGGCCACATGAGCGGAGGGTTTCATGGCATTTGCAAAGAGGAAAGGTATCCTGGATAAGATGAAAAACTGTAGGCCCAGTCTAACAGCACTTTCACTGTCTTATTCTAGTGGGATGTAAAAGAAACCAAACGCTACTCGTGAAGGGGGGAGGGGGAGGTAGACCTTGGTATTGTGATCATCATTGAAAAAATATGTAGATCTATGTGGGTGAGGACAGGGGCTGGGCACCCAGGAGAGTAGGGGAAGGGGGAAGCAGGAGGTGGGAATTCCAAAAGGGTGTAAAGTGGGAGAAATAGGGGGAAAATATGCAACAATGCTGAATAATGTTTTGCAATTGAAAAAGGGCTAAAGGGAGGAAATGTAGCAAAAAGGGGTGGAATCCAGGAATACAAGGTACTGGAGGCGGAGGGTTCAAACTGCCCTGTGCGGTCCCCTCACCTCCTGCTGTGGCAGGTCTACAAAAGCTTTCAAGCTGTCTTAAATATATAAACTCAAGGACAGAAGAACATCTTTTCAAGTGGGAGATTGAATAGTGACTTAATAGGAATCAGACAAAATGAATAAAATTAAAACAAAGTCAGAGTCAATCGCGAAGAGCGATTGAGTATGGTAGCAATACTTTGGGGTCAGCTGTAGGCCGATGCTTCTTCAGCCAAATGCCACAGACATGAGAAAAAACCTCTGGTACCCAGGGTACAAAGTGGGCTGTGCAATGGTGTTATTTAGTTAGTTATTATGATGTAGCATGATTCCCCCTCCCTCCCTTCCCATCTACAAATTAACTAGAAAGACTTGACCAAAACCAGAAACCTCGCATGAAAAGTCTCTGGCACCCAAATACCCACTTTGCAGAAACTAAGGGAACTGTTAATCGACCACAAAAATATACCCTCCGTAGAACATATAAAGGCCTGCACCTTTGGACAGGCTTGAGTAGGCCATGCAGTAGACACGACAAAGGTGTGAACAAATGAGATAAAGGGCAACTTGAACTACCTATTGCTTCTTCGGACTAAAATGTAAATTTTTCTATAATGTAATATAAATTATTACATGAGTCTTTCTGCAACGATGAGTAATGCAATTTGTCTTAATTTTGGAATAAGACACCTCTGGTACATTTCATTAATTTTATTATGAAGGATTCCAATTTTTAATCGGACAAAATAACAATAATAAGAAAATTTTGTCAACACAATAATTTATCAACTGCTGCTTCTTTCTTTTTGTGTGCAGAGCAGTGATACTGTATCAGGAATGTTCAAATGGAGGGCAGACAGGAAGCTAGGCAGTCAACAAAGCAAGGATGAAAACAGCGAATCAAGGTAAAAACCATCCTTTTGTAATGACAAAGGAATGTCTTCCTTTACCACTTTCCCTGCAATTGTTAAACTTGAAGATGATATTAACTGCTGAAATACAAAAATTTTAAATGAAGATATGATCATCGCAGTGGTAATTGCAATTTAAGCAATCACAAATAAACCCAACTAACCCATGGCCTCTGTGTTAGCGCTGCGGTGCTCTACCATTTGAGCTATGAAGACGCATATATAAAGAGCAGGCCAATTTGTTGAGTTCATCTTCACCTACAGAGTATTCGGCGGGCAGGAGGAATACCAGGGAAAAGAGGCTTCTGCTAGCACTGGGAAGATAGCCAGGAAGATAGGTTCTTATTAAATTAAGTTGCAACCACTACTGACCGTTGTATTTACCACAACAGAAAACATAAGGGAGTTTATGCAACGACAACGACAACGACGACGGCAACGAGAACGGCAAAAAAGCACAGGGTTCATACAAAAAATTGCAACCATTTTTCAAGGACTTTTCAAGGACTTTTCAAGGACCACATTAGATTTTCAAGGACAACCTACTAGGAATATAATTTCACAGATTGTACAAAAATGCATATTCCCAGTATATTCTAATAAGACTTTAAGGCTTTAACTGTTTGCTTCATCAAATTCTCTACATTTTTCAGTTCACTTGTCTTAAACTGATAGTTAATTATTGCATAAAACATGGAGCACTTTATGTAAATGACCTTTACATTCACTGAGCTACGATTTATATTCTGTCTTGGACAACCAAAAAGCATCAAAAAATTCTTTCCAGGCTACCACATTCAAAGTTGAAGAAAATTCAAGCTCTTTTCAAGGACTTGCACAGAAATTTACGGACTTTTCAAGGAAAAATGGAATTCAAGGACTTTTCAAGGACTTCCCCTAAAATTCAAGGACTTTTCAAGACTGTGCGAACCCTGAAGCAATAGGCTTAGACAAGCAAAACAACAACTTTGCACGTGCATCACGCTTTTTTGTACATTTCTCTGCCGTCGTTGCACGACTACAACGTGAAACTGCCTAATTTCACGTTTGGTCGAGGACGGGAACAAAAGACAACAACTTTCTTTTTCTTTTCCTGAACTTTGATGCAGTCCTTTAAAATTCAACTCTAAAACATTTGCCAACATTTGACGAATGAAACGAGATGGAATAAGCGCGATGAAGTTTGAGGCAGCGCAAATTCACTTTTAAGTGACGTTTTCGTAGCCGTCGCCGTCGCCGTCGTCGTTCCATAAACTCCCTATAAAGGAGAGAAAGTGTGACAACGGCAAAAGAAGATGCATCATGAAATCAAAGTAGCGGTCAACACTCGCGGAAAACAGTTCATCTCTGAGATGTCCAAATCAAAGATGTTGTTATACTGCACGCTCATAGACTTTTGAAGGGAAACGGGTTCAGTGTTTAGATGTCCGATGACCTCTGGGCAGCCAAAAAGAGCGCGCGCTATGCTCTTTGAGGAACAAGAAATGAAGCGCATTGTCACGGGATCTCCTTTGCAATGGAATGGTCGTTATGACGAGTGTTGATCAGATTGTGGAGAAAGCAGACAACAGAAGTACGTTATCTGACGTTGAGCAAAATGGGGTTTAAAATAAGTGAAAACATATAAGAACAGCAACTTTTTCAACTGTAAGTACTGCAAGAAACAGAAAATTTACGGTATCTTTTGTTGCCTAATTTATCTTCATTTTTGTTGCAGATTTTTAGTCAGCAATGAACGTGAAGGCGACAGTAATTTCCAGAGCATGTTTGCTGGCGATGAAGACATCTTTGCTTGAATAAGAAACGATTATTTTTTGTCTATAAACTTTTAACAAGTGCGCTCTATTTCGGGGATGCTTAATCGACAAATTTCTGTTACACGCGCGACATGTGCAACTTACATTTTAGAGCTTAAAATCTGTAACCTGCCCTGACACACTTTACGAGAGAAACCCACATGCGATTTCATTAAACAGATCTACTGAAGATGAAATATTCAAGATATACGCCACTTAAGATATATACAAGAAGAAGCAAACCTAACGTACAGTAAAACCCCATTCATGCGACCACAATTGGGCCATAAAATCTTGGTCGTGAATACAAGGTGGTCGTGTTAACGGGGTAGTCAAAATAATAAAACGATCCAGTGTTTTTTACGTTTGGGTAGCCTGAGAAAACAGCCGACATGTCGCGATGTTACCACTGGTTTGCCCGCGAAATGAAGTTTGAGGAACGAGCGCAGAAATTCCATACTGATGACATGTTACCCTCTAGATCTGGCTTCTGATTGGTTGTGCCGCAAAGGAAATTACTTCAACCAATCAGAAGGTAGTTACACGTCATCAGTCTGGAATTTCCGCAGTGGTTTCTCAGACGTCATTTTGCTGGGAAACCAGTGGTAGCGTTGCGATATGCCGGCTGTTTTCTCACCTTGAAAAAATGTTATCATATTAACGGGTCATCGTAAGGCGGGGTTACACTGTAGTAAAAGGAGTCAATAAGTCTTGACAACAGTGAGTTAAATATGATCGTCAAGGTGAGAATGATCCTAACTAAGGACGTTACAGCTACATTCCCAGTTAGCTGTTCGGCACAACTAGCCTTGGGCTATAAACATTGTCAAGAGATAAATAAAGGTAATTTATTTTCTAACTTTTCCTAAACGTGATAACTCGAAGACATTGTTGTCTTCGAAAAAGGAATTTCCTATTCAATTACGCTTCATATTCTTTACAATTACTTTTACATTACAACCACTGTTATTTCAACATGAATTTAGCAATACTTGAAAAAAATTGCTGAATAGAGAAATGTTACTTGTTATGGTCGAAAATTGTGTAAAGTTTTTTAAGCCGAGACATCAAAGAATGATTTCAGCATCGCTTCAATCTCTTCCACCGTGTACTTGATGTACTTTTCTGGGTTTTTCGTAAAGGGTAAAGTACTGTATCTATAAAAAGAACAAAAAATATCGTAAATCCTCTTTTAACACCCCCTTCTCTGATAAGCCCCTCTTTTCTGGGGGAAGAAAGTTATTAAGCCCCTGCCCCCCTCTTTGGCTACACTACTCTTTTTACTCAGTAGTTTGCCTAAACGCAGGATACCCTCAGCCTCGCTCCCAGTCGTCCTTGGCGGTTTCGGATGTGAGATGACGTCACGTGTCCATTCGCGGACGAAGCCTCGCGCTTGGTTCCAAGCCTCGTCTGCTAACTCGGATAGCGCGACGTGGCCTGAGGAAGAGTCTAGGATCCAAACTCCCCCGAACATCTGTATGCTTAAAGCTGGTCAGACGCATACTTGACTCGTCCCAGTCGTCTCTTCATTTGTACGCGGTCATCGATCGATCGCTTTAGACTAGATCCGCATCTTGGCCAAGGGGACGATGAGAAACAGAGAGGAAAGGGAAAACGACGACTCCTTATTTTCCTAATTCCTATAAATCCCCGCGCGCATCTTCTACGCGCTTCCCTCAACCTCGTCCCCAGGGTCTTCTCGTTTTCCAATAGGGCAGAGAAGACCCAGAGGACGAGGTTGGTGCTTCCCTTGTTAAAAAAATTAGGCTGAATTAGCAAAGACAACGCGATGGCGGGGACGACTGCGTGCGTAAACAATCAAACTGATTTGACCAACGGCAGGAGCCCATCAAATTTGATGGGCTCCTGCCAACGGTAGAGCGGCAAATTGGGCACCGGAAATCGCGCTTCAGTCCAATCCACGTGCTTTCCCCTCGTCAACTGTCGTTTCCGGTATCTTGCTAAATCACTCTAATAGATCGCCGGTTTTCACTCACGTGGTCAGCAGCTATGCAAATTTCGGTTCAATTTAGGTTTCTTGGAAACTGCCCTTCTACCCCTTCCCTAAGCCAACATTTTTCCCTAGCGAAAGGGTGGGTGGGCTGTTTTCCAGAAACAAATTTCTTCGAACAAGGTAAATTTTTTACATAAGAAAAGAGTTCAATCCTTACAAGACTTTTTCTGTACACCAACATGGCCGCCGTGTAACATGTATTACATGTACTTTTTTACTTCAATACGGCCGCCGTGACGTACTGTGAGTCAACTTGGGGCCAGTCAGGCGCAGACTTCTGAAGTTTCTGCCGTTACCATTTCAACTAACTATATAGTAGCCTACGAACGAAGACAACCAGAAGTGGGTCTGCGTTCGCAGGCTAAATAACTTACTTCTCCCTAAAAGCTGTATAATGTGGTAGAATTAGATCCATGTTGTCATTTCTTAGCTGATCTCTGAGCTGTGTATCAGGCACTGAATACGTTTTCTGTATTTGATGGAGCTCCTCAAATTCCGTGTTGAAGCCCTAGAAACAAAACAATTTCCTCAACGTCACGCACGTGTTAAAAGAACCTCTTTTCACCAAACCCTATCTAAGACAATGGACAAAATTGGGGAAACTTGGGAAATTTAATAGATTCAGGTTACTTGTTAATAAATAACTGAGACAGTACGCGCGCTCTGATTGGCCGAGAGGCGTGTTGCATGAGAGTATGTAGACATGGTTGTGACCTTAAGATGTTTTGCTTTTCGCGCGCTAATCACGCAAGCACGAATTTAAAAAAGTTTTGGAGTTGAGAGCTCCACAAATGTACAGTAATTTACCCACTCCCTCGCCGGCTGAAACCTAGAAAATCTTTACAAACATGCTGTGTCAATTTTTTTTCGCTTAAGCTGACATTTTAAGCGAAAGAAATCCATATTTAGGAAAGCATTGCCTGCGTGCAGACGTCTCCTATTTCCTTTGTTGCACTCGGAAAAGGTCCCTTTTCCGCGTGCAACAAAGGAAATAGGAGACGTCTGCACGCAGGCAAAGGAAAGCATCTTTTTTGCAAAACAAGAACTGATAACCCGTGCAAGATTTCGCTGACTGGTGACAGGTTTACCTTAAGTTTGCTATTCGTACCTTGAACTTGTCTTTAATAAGTTGCCTTTGCTTATCTTTCAGCTAAAACAGAAAAAAGAAAGCTTACATTAAACACTAAAACCCACCACACAGGCATACAGGCAGCAAGTTGTTTTTAACTTAAGTTCTGCTCAATCTAGTTTTCAGGCACTTACTCGAATAATGCTATCATGCAATGCAAGCGTATTTGATTTGGATGGGCGAAAGTTACTTAATTATGGTCTTATTTATGGTCTTATTTATACAGCGGCCGCCATCTTTGATTTTATAACAGAGGAAGATTGGGGAGAGAAGAAATAGCAAGGGCGGGCAAAAGAGAAGACGGGGTAGGGGACGGTAAGGGGAGAGGAAACTACACCCACTCGTGCTCACTGTTTATTTGGGAAACTGGGTATGTGGTCAACCGCCACTAACTCGGGGGTGTTTCTCATTCTCACAGTGTTCTCAGGCGTTACCCACCCCCTCCCTTTCTCCTGTCCCGTCCCGTCCCGTCTCCCGCCCCTTCCCAACTCCTCGACTCTTTTCAATGCTCACCTTTGTTTGTTGTTCAGATGCTTTATGAGTCGACATCGGTTTGTCCATCTCGAGCAGAAAGTTGAGAACTTTTGCCCAGCTAAATAGCAACAAACCAACAAGCAATGACCAATTAATTCATCCATGAATCACACATTAGTTTCAGTCAATGGTCAGTGAGTCGGTCAGCCAGTCGGTCAGTCAGACTGTCAGTCAGCAATACGGTCGGCCAGCCATTGAATAATCAGCCCTTTGATAATTTTATCAATCGATCAAAGAAACGTCTAATCAAGAAGTTGCTCAAACAGGAATGAATAACAAACGTTTTTTCGTGAGAGATTGATTACTAAACAGAAAACCCAAATTGAGCCGGAGGACTTCAGACCCAAGCACTCGATCACTAAACGGCGCTACTTTACTTTTAAAAGGACTGTTTACACCTGGCGATATTTGAGCGATTTATGTATATTATTATTCATTCAAAATATTTCCCCGCTTCTGATTGGCTAAAAAGTACACGGATAATTCACCATAACCAGCTACTGATGACCAGATTTAGAAGAATTTTGCGATTAATCAACCGATGGCGTCAAAAGAGCAGCTTCCTTGCAGGTTAAAGCACCGTTAACCGAGAAGACCTGGGGACGAGGTTGAGTTGTTTTGGTTGTGAAAACAAAAATGGCGGACATTTCACTCGTTCCAAAAGTAAGAACTAGGCGAAATAAAAGCTAAAAAATGGCAAGAACAGCAAGAAGACAACTCGAAGGGCGACATCTGCTATTTGGAGAATTTGCGGAGCTGAACAACTCTATACGTGCACTATCGACGATGAACTTAACATTGATGGAGGTAAGCATGTTTTAGCTATGTTTTTAAACTAGGAATTATTTTGAATGAATAATAAAACAATTATTGAATTCGGCTTTCGTATCATATGAAGAATTACGGAGATCTCGGAGGGTGTTATCCGCCTCGGCCTACGGCCTCGACAGATAACACTCTCGTCGATCTCCATAATTCTTCATAAGATACTCAGCCTCATTCATTAATTGTTAATTTTATTTACACTATTTTATAAGTTATATATTCATTTTTATCGCGCATTTGATTACATTTCCATAAGTATTTGCGCGCTCCAAATTTTTAAATAAAAAAAAAAGCGAAATTTATGCACAATATTAAGTCGCAAGTGAAAACTAGCGACGATTTGAAGGTGGTTTTTTCGCCGCAAAATCACCGTTGTTTAGAAACTGCGCGATTAGATTTATTAGCGAATATCCGCAGGAGAGTTGCTAAAAACCTAGCTTGGGTCTCTCTGCAGATCAGTTATGCACTTCAGTAAATAAAATCGCCACGAAATCGCCTTAACAGTCGGTACAAAATGGCGCGAAAAATCACCAGCACTTGTCCTTGTTGAATGATTCCTCTTTAAGAAGCAATCTTCATTAACGATGCATTTTCTCTTAAACAGTGGGTATTCTGTGAGCGTCTAGTGCCAACCTTGTTCTCAGGCCCTCTCTTCTTCAGCAGGGGACGGAAAAAAAGAGAGACCCTGAGTACTAATCTCGTAGCCAGATCTCCCGCGGCCAAGGGAGCGTAAGACAGAGTGAGATGTGGGTACGAGATTGCCTGAGTACCAGGTATATGAAGTGTAAGGCACAACACATTCAAAAAGAGGAAGCTTGTTAATTAATACTACATTAAATGACTATTCCTACCATTTTTGGTAGGTGGCTTTCTGTTCATCTATTAGCGTCTCGTACTGTTTCTCCACTCCAGCGATTCCACCTTCTTGGAGAAGTGCAAGAAGACCCGACCTGTAATAGAGAAACGAAAACAGGTGACGCACCTGTAAAATATTCTCCCTTCCAAAATTTCGAGTTCACTGAACAATCCTACGAGACTGCTAGAAGCAGTCTAGCAACCAACTGCAAACACAAAACACAGAAGATAAAGTTGATTTTCCTCACTTTCAGCTTGTATTTCCAGTCTAAATTACGTGAAAGAGTTGTTTCCTAGTTTACAAATCAGAATCTAAAGAAACTGAAAAGGAGTTTTTGAAACTGCCACTTTGTCGCCACGGCCTATACCAAGAAATTCTGTCACGTGACAAGTCCGCCAATCACTTGAGACGGCTAACAGCTCCGATAGCTCGTGTTTAGCCTCCTTGTGTTCTAATAAGCAAAGTTTTGTATTCATACAATATTCGTACCGTTGAAGAGTCTTGACGATGTAGTTATAGTTGTTGAGTAAGAAGAGAGATGACAGGGTCGGAGCCTCATACACCCTCGCCTTGAGCTCAAGATTCAGTCCAAGGGCTCCAAGCACACGTTCTGCATAAAAATGGCAGAAGCAGAGATGAGAAGTATTTCAGTGACCCGTACAAGAAACAGAATTACAGATAATTTTTCTTTCTTGAAGGGACACATGTCCTAAGTGACTGATAAGGCTAAATACTTACGAACATATTCGGAGACAACCTTTGTAAACAACTCTGGTTCTCTAGTAAAGAAATTACCACTTTGATCCTCTGCAAAAATAAATTAACACTAAAGCAAAGAAAATAAGTTGCTTGGAGAAAATCTAACAGATTGGTTTTCAAAAGAGGGAAGTGTAGCTTTGGTTCAGACCCAATACGCTGCGAGGAGTCACTCATCCTCGGAGACCCGGAGAAGGTCATTCGGGTCGGGAAAAACGGCGGCGAAACTTTTTAAGAATGGGCAATAGAGCCAGTGGGATGCTACTCAAGCGAACCAGTTCCACGACTCATTCGAATGCTCGTTTCTCTATGGGCACAATCGGTGGCCAGCATCTATCGTGCTGCTTTTGTGATCTTCTACCACGGAGTTTACCTGCCACCTCGACTGTTCGCCGTACCTGTCTGGCTCGTGCAGGAAAGCTTTCTTCGAGAAGAGTTCTCAGCGAAAATGGCTACCGATCCGACTGACCGCTCCTGGGTCTCCGAAGATGGGAGTTACTGGGGTTCAACCAACCTCGTTCCCGGGTTCTCTCTCCTACCCGTCTCTCTCTCTCGCTCCGTAGGAACGTGTAGGAGAGAACCCTGGGAACGAGGTTGGGGTTGAGCACGAAACACGAGACAAGGGAGTAGCCCGAGGAAGAAAAGTTGTTGAAAGAGTGGGGTTGGTTTGATGACCACTCGTTTCGCTAACGTCTGAAGTCGTTCAGCTAAGAAGCGAAATGAGCGCATGGAAAATGTAACTTGGCCTAAGGAGTTTGAGAACTACTCTGAAAATTTTCGAGAAGATTAAAAATTTGCTGCAACACGATGTGCACTCTGCCAGCAGAGCCTTTCTTTTGCTTACTCGATTTTGGAGTACACCAAAGACTCTGCATGAATCAAGCGAGATCTTTGTTGAGCATGCGCTGCATGTTGCTAGGATACAGTTTCGAGCCCAGGCCTAACGGCCGTGCACTTGGCACTTGTTGGCTAACGAATCATCGTACCATATTCACAACAAGACTACCCTGCGAGCCGAGGCCCTTCGATCGTCCTAGATAAGTCGGGGGTACAACAAGTCAGGAGTAAAAACCAAACAATAATTTACTTTTACTATAATTACCTTGCAAGGTAACCAACATGCTGCCGACTGTCTCAACATAAGGAAGAAGCTGCTCCATAAAAATAAGTGTCTAAGGGGAAAGACAAAGCACTTGTGTTACGCTTGAATAATTAGCAATTCTAGGCGGATACCCCTGAGGATAATCTGGAGAATTATGGAGATCGAGGAGGGTATCATCCACCGAGTTGCATCCTTGATATTCTTGCTACGTTTCTAGGCAGCAGATCGCTTATTTCTTCTTCACGAAACGTTTGAAATGTTCCGCCTTTTTATATTGCTCAACCAAAGCAACGCAGCCTCGTCCCAAGGGCCTCTCGGTTGCCGTTTCTTTTTTTTTTTCTAGCGATTAGCCAAGAATATTGACGTCATTTTCCGGATATCGCAAACGTCTTCTAGATTTTGTCAACGCTAGCTGGTTACGGAGGATTAGCTGTGGGATTTGAGCCAATCAGCAATGGAGAAATATTTTGATTGAATAATAACATCTTTCTGATAGGCTGGTATCTCCTGGCTAATTTTTCATAAGCAGCTGGTGTTGACCAAATATGAAGATGTTTACCGATATCAACATACTTGACGTCAATTGTACTGATATTGAAAGGAAAAGGGACAGAAGACTACGCGGTGGCTCAGCTATTTATGCAGTGCAGACCTGAAAATAATGGCGGAAGATTTCAATCGTCATACGAAGACTACGCCACGGTTTCACCTTCATGCCCAACAAAAATTGGCAAGTCTAGTATGACGAGTCTAAAAATTAAAATCTCTTCAACTTACATTTCTGGTGAGCTCATGTACCGTTCCATCGCTAGGCATGTTGGAATGCTTGTCTGGAGCATGCTGTAAAAACAAATACATGCAAGTAACCTTTCACTGTCCTCCTAGAGTCGACTTTAAAGATTGCCCAGAGAAGTAACCAACATGAAAGACCTCCATTTGTGACCTGAACTAAGTCGTAAAATGAGTCGCTTTGTTGCGCAAAAGCTCTCCGGTATAGGGTGAACATAACCTTAAGAACGTCTGCATGGGAGGCTGTAAATGTGCAAGCTTAAACATTATCATGAACTGAATAAGAGAAGGATCTAAGCAACTGGATAAGCCCATGTATGCGCTACGACAGCGTCCTGAAATGACACTAAGGGAAAGGAAAAAAAATATATCAAGTAATCCCAAGGGCAATCACATTTCAAATACCAAGGGAATTCATCTAGGGTGATCATACATCCTATTTGTCGATAAAGCAGTGTTTGTACAATGGGAAATTCGATGCTGAAAAATGGGTTAATGAGTATTTCCTCACCCTTATTCCATCAGCAAAATCATCCAATGCTTTAGCAGACTGAAAAATAGATACATTTGTACACAGATATTAAACTAAGATACTAAAGTAAGTTATATTATAAATATAAGTAACAGAACAAAATCGCGAAAAATAGTGGGGGAGGTTGTGGGTGCTAAAACTAAGATTCAAGTTTAGCCCCCAGACCATGTTCCACCTAAAAGTACATGTAGTGGGCTTACACAATAGCACGGCAGAAGAGGACGACAATACAGGTGTACGTGTGTTTTGTGATAAACGTTACAGGGCTGTAAGGTGCGTGTTTTGTCGTGATCTTCTCTTAACACTGGTGTTTTCTGGTCTTTAACAAAAAAAGGTATGATTAAAGGAAGGTAAAGCTCGTCGGAAAATTCTCTGCAAACATTATTGTTGTCACGCTTGTCACACAAGGTTTGCCGTCATATTCCCTCTCCTGTTATATATGCTGAGTAAGTTCCTTAATATTGGGACTTTCCAGAGATCTTTTGATTGGGGTTGACAATTTTAGAAACGCTTTGCTTAAAGTCAGACATTTCTTTGTTTGCCAGTGAAATATGTTGTTGAAATAGAGAGAAGTGTGACTTCACGTTGCCATGGCAGCAAAATTTCTTGATCACAACAATAGGGACGACGACGAGGACGGAAAAAAAGTAATAGGTTTATACAAGCAAAACAACAACTTTGCACGTGCATCACGCTTTTTGTACATTTCTAAGCCGTCGATGCACGACTGTGACACTATACTTTCTAATTTCACGCACCCGCTTTATGAAGTACACGAACACGACAAAAAAAAAATGTTTTCTTTCTCTCAACTTAGATACGGTTCCCTCGTGTCCAACCCTATAAAATTTCGCCAACACTTGTCAAATTAAATGACATTGATTAAAATCGCTGGAGCTTGAAACAGTGCGACGTTTTTAGTTCCTCGTCATCCAGAAATTTTGCTACCATGACAACGTGACGTAACGACTTCTCTCTACGAACAGAGAGATAGAGAGACATCTACTTACCGTAGCTTCCATAGCGTGAATGAGCGTGGGAAACTGACCCTGAGTTCTGTGAAACGTCTCCTGCAAAGGAGCCAATGTATTTTACTAATGGACATCTAAGACGTACGTCTAACATAAATTTACAGGAAAACATGACAGTCGCATTCAACATCACAAGTTAAGGGCGTCTGGTCTATGCACTCGGCCGCAGACATCTTACTTGTCTCCGAGGTTTAAGTCATCTAGTATAAAGACTAGAAGTACTGTGACGAGGTTTGGTCAATGAATTATCATACGACCACAACGAAAAGTTTTTCTTGCGGGACCAACGCGGGAAATTCCGGGAGGCCAAGATGGGCCTATCTTGCTCTCTTAGGTAGCCAATCAGAAGACAGGATTTGCTTTATATTCTTCGTTCCCGGATTAACTCAAAGGCATTTTTGAGCGACGTACGTCAACCGAAAGTGACATAGTATTCATGCTAATGTCTTTACTCTCATAAAGACGATTTACCTGAAAAATGTGGGTGAAACCACTGCCCAAGAATGACAAGAGTACACTTCCGTTTAACATGCGACGCTCAAAAACGTCTTTTCTGAAGCTTCTATAACACGTGTACCTACAAAACAAACCCCAGCAATGAACTGACCTGTAAGGTTACATAGAAATCAGGCTGGATCGCAATGAATGCCTTAAGAATAGGAAGAACTTGTAGAATGGCCGAGTAGTTATGTTTGTTATAGTAGCGCTTCAGAATGTTTATTATAGCCTGTAAAACAAAAGAGAGAAAAAGCAAACAATTTCATTAAACAGTCAAGTCTCACTCCCATTCTTGCAAGATTAGAAATTTCCAAGCCTGTCGTTTATCCCATTCCCCAACAACCATTAATCGACTGAGCTATGCCAGCGTCCACCACAGTCAAATTTCTAAGGCTTTTTTGTTTTAACTTGCTAGGATTTCAGTATCAGTAACTGTAAAAATTGGCAAAGATGTATGAATCAGTTCCTAAGCGTAACTATCTTTTCATCTTCCTCGGATTTTGGAACTTTTTCTTTGTTGAAAATGCTTCGCGTCAAAAGAAAATCATTCTGGAAAATGGCACCGACAATAACACCAGCCTCGGCTTTCAAACACTTCAGACTTTTTCAGTAAACTTTCAAGATGTTAGTGAACCAACAGGGTATTGATAATACCTTAAACTTTCGACAGTGACAGTAGCAAACCTTAGCTTTGAAGTACTTCCCTAAGCGTTTGCATATTTCTCTCGTTTGACGCAGTGAAATGCCAGCGTGGCAGGCGCGCGCGCAAGGGAAACACGTGAGGGGGAAAAGAGCCTCCCCTCTTAAGCGCGCGTGCGTCCTCGATATTTCTCCTTTCGTCCTAAAAAACCGACGCAAACTACGTAGGCTAAGAATCGTTGAACAGCGTAGAGGGGCGTTTATGAGAGAGTGGGCTTCTATTAGATCATTTACGGTATTCAAATCACCACAAAATAGCACTGGTAGGGGATTAAAACCTAAAAATTTGCAGATCCGCTATTTGTTTTACGAGTTGCTCTTTCAATACTTTAGTATTTTTAGGGTTGTCTCATAATTTTAGGATGGAATTGGTCACATAACCCCCCGATGGCAAGTGGCTATGGGGTCCCACACAAGCAGCGTAAGACATGCATTTCAGGTGTCAAGGGGCTAAATACCTCTCCTTCAGAAATGAACATATCCATAGAGGCTTGGATTAGCTTGTCAAATGTGGTGCTTTGGCTTATCTCAGGAATTATACTCTTCATCAATTCACGCTCACTCTAACAAGAAAAGTCACAAAACACGCCCTCGTCAGAGGTTAACTCAATCCAAATAATTACAAATAAACGTCAGATTTCAACACTGATCACTTTGTTTGATACCCGGGACAGGGGCACACCTTTATTTTGCCTAAACGGGTACATGTATGTGATGCTGAACAGGGTGTGGTTTTCAGGGCCTTGAGTCTTAGACAACGTATATAATATCGCTTTTCAAACTACTTAGCGTCTTGAAAAAGTGTCTTCTTCAAAAAGAGTGTGAATCTAATAAAATAAAATAGTGTTACCTTAGAAAATTAGTTAATTCTGTACGCAAAACGAAACGAACCCGGGTCACAAAATATTAAAGGCCTCTTATCTTACAGGGTAGCCAAATTAACAATTTTTGTGTTAAACAGGGTCAGGGTTTTAAGGCCTTGGCAGCACAACTCTTATATCCCCCCCCCCCACCCACCACTCGCCTCTTTCTGGGACTTTAATACTGGTAAGGTAATTACCTGTATGAGTCTCAGCAAGGATCGACAAAACACTATGTAATTCGCACCATCTATCTCCCTGTGAACGTGACAAAGGAGGAAAATACAGTCAGAGAAACCAAACATGACTTGTGTAATGGCTGGCATGTTAATCCTCCATACTCACTCTTCTTCCTCTTTGGTAGCTCCACTATCCGAAGGAAGAGCTGAACCTCGGCGAGGATGACCTTGTTATAAATAAAAAAAAGACCATAGTTTGGCTAAACCCTTACTTAATTTCTAGTCTATTTTTATTTTTATATATTTATTTATTTAACATCTATTTATTTAATTATTTTTACTATTATAATGACGTGGTGGTGCAATATATCGAACACGGGAAGGCACCCGTTTGGATACCTAATAAAATACATTTTTTGTCAAATCGTCGATTTTCAACGAAATCATCGCATATCAAAAATTGTTTTGTGTGGTAACGCTACTAGCGAGCTCGTGCAACCACGACAAAGAAGAAGAAAACGAGAAAATAACAAAAGCAACAGGTTTAATAAGCAAAACAGAAACTCTGAACATGAGGCAGACTTTTTGGCAGATCTCTTTGCCGTTATCGCACGACTTACGTTATCAAACTTGATCGGAATGGCAATGTGATCGTCGCTCAAATCTCTAGATAATCGTCGTTTCACGAAAAACGACTATTACAACTCCGATTTTTCATAAATACGCATACAGAGTCTCAGCTTTGTATCTACACAAAGTTGGTTCCAGCGTCACTTTTACACAAAGGCTAGGAACACATACTACCCAAACAATCCTTGCAGTAGCACTGTTGTTAATTGATTTCTTTTTTTTTGTCAGCGACTTTGAAAAAATAGCATTAACCATAAAGAGAAAACTATTTTTTTACCATGCTCTGACTTGGAAGGGACACGGCGTACCCTGAAAGTGAAAAAGATCCAATTGCTTTTTATTTGACAAGCATCAAACAACTTTATGGGGAAAGTGTTCCTTTCACTAACCTACTTTTTAACATCCGAGTGTTCACAATGCACCAGGAGTAAGGTGTCACATGTACAGTTAACCCCAACAATGTTGGGAGTTGTTGCGTCCGTTTGAACGTAGCTAAAAGTTTGACCGGTTTCAAACTTTGCGCAACAACTCCTAACAACATACAACGGGGTGTGCAAACGGACTCAACATGTAACATTCAACAATGTTGCGCCCAATTGCACGGGGCTTAACCTTAATCTAAGATCCTTGTCGTGATAAGCATAACATTTTGGAGCCTGCAACTGTTAGCAGTATTAGTGAAGTTTGATTATTGATGAGCTCGATACCAGTAACAGTGTCAGTAAAATACTACTTTTCTGTTTGAAAAATGGAACATTACTAGAAGTAAAAAATAGAAGTGAAAGAGAGCAAATGATCATCCTTTCACTTAGACGGGGAAATTTCCAACATTCAATATCTTCTAAAGTGGTATGAAATCATGTGCAAAACAAAGGATTTTACAACCATTATACTACTGTAGCTTACTCTCTCCTTTTGCCAGTTCCTCTTCTTGTGGGCGTGGTCACACCCCCTAATGAAATAAGAGGTTAAAAGTAATCATTCCTATGGCTATAAGCAAACACTAATGACACCATTGGGTGGTATTACGACAAGAAAAGCGACTCGTGAAAAAAGCCTCAAGAGACTCGCAATAATTAGTTACATTTTTCTTCCTAATAAATTATTGTTTTGCCAGTGGATCAAGAGACTCTAAGGGCCTTAAGTATTTCATAAACGGCACTCAATTTAGCAGCAACTATTTTGTGCATTTCTATAAGGCTCGAGTTTAGCATCTTTTAATAATAATTAATAATAATTAAAAATGTATAACGTGTCTTTTCCAAGTAAATACAAATCATCAAAAGTGTGTAAAAACTGATGCTTTAAATGTTAAAAGAATATAAAAGCTAAAATGAACATAGTAATTAAAGCTAAAAAGTTCACAATGCTATAAATTTAAATAAAAACACTAGCTATATGTACATGGGCTCTATCAAGCCCAACTAGTTCACTGATTTAATAGCAATTTGTTTTTGCTTACTATCAGGCAAAAATAAGAAGAGAAAAAACAAAAACAATAAAACACACGATCTTCTGGTGCTCCTTGTTGAGCCATGCTTATCAAGTGAATACGATTATCACTGGTTAAGAAAACAGTACCTTAACCCTTTTAGTCCCAATAGTGACCAACAACAATTTTCTCCTAACAACATCCATACACTGTCAAGAGATAAAGTTATGAGAATTGATAAAATGATCACCACAGAGAAAATTCCATGACCTTTTATCAAATTCTCTCAACTAATTCTTAAAGGAGATGTATGGAGATCAGTTTGGAGAATTTGTATGTGGATATTGGGGCTTAAAGTGTTAATTCAATCTAGAAGAACTAACCTGATGTGGCCTTTAGTTTTCCACCAAAGGACTTAAAAGTAAACAAAAAATAATTAGGTAAGTGCATCATGGACTTTTAATGTACCAGTCAACTGAATAAATCTAACTGGCAGTATTGTAAAAAGAGTTTCAAGAAGAAAGGGTTTGTAAAAGCTTTCAAGGATATAATGATTTTAAGTAAAATATCAAAGAACTTGGGCCTATTCTTAACTTTCAGAGTGACCCCATTAGTGCTTAACTCTTTGTCTAACTTGTGACATGTTTTTATGTGTTACTTTTCTTTTTAAAGACCAATTTTTTCTTGTATTTATAGAACATTCATAAGCTTTTCTTTTGGACTCAATAATAACGTCCGAGACGTTGAAGCGTTGTGGTATATTTTTCAATCGTTTTTAAAAATTTCTTTAAATGTTTTAAAGAAAAATTTTTACATTTTTCATAGCTAAAAGTCTCTTCTTTTTAAAATACACCGTGTCATGTCAATACCTGAGGAAATACAGTTATCAATCTGGTAAAAAGAACAAGAAGCTTATTGGACGCGACAAAAGGAACCCGCAATCCTAATGTCCAGGTTGTTATATTACAAATGCGTCACATGTATGTAGCAGGCATTCGTTTGGACTTCCACTAAGAATAAATGAAATGCACAGAATGCAATTTGATCACGAGCGTCTCAACCTTCTACCCCTCGTAATCTTATCACCCACGTTTTGACCATCTGTCACAGGAAACCTACGTAAAACACAGCAATGGAGCAAAAGCATTTGGACCTTCGATGGTTGTCAGCCGCACTTCCTAACCTTTGGTTATTACTAGTAACTAAATAAATGTGAGTAGTAAGTTAGAGGTAGAACAGAGACCAATGAATCCATTATATCATTTTAGGCTTTTCTGTATTCCAGTCATGCACACACAAATGAAAGAAATGAGGTCAAAGCTCGAGTGGACAATTTCATACAGATCACTGTATTTTGTCACCGAAGCCTCAATAAAGTTGATACCTTTGTTTACTGGAATGCAGCAAAGGCCTATTCTCATACTTGCTATTTGATGATATATTTACTTGTAATCTACTACATTCAACTACTTTATCACACTTACATCTTTCAACCTGTGAAGAGAAATAACAATACAAAACTGTTATTGGAATGATGTTAAATGGAGATTGGGCAATTCCAGAAAATATCCATACCCAACCACGGACGGCTTCCATGTTTTAACCCCCCCTTGCCTTCGGAAATTCCAAAATGCGCTACCCCCCCATGCCCTCAGAATTCCATAGTCGTGAACCCCCCCTCCCCTTCAGAATTTCCGGTTTTTTTTGGAAGTACATTTTCGACTTAGCAACGCCTATAAGAACAAACGAACATGAATTTATGCCTCCTCAAGGCTGTGATCTAGCGGCGCCAGGTGACAAGCTTTACTCTTCAGTGACAAGAAGAACCTACGCTAGTTGCCAGGCCGTGCAAACTCCTTTTTAAGTCCGAATTTGGCTATAAAAATAAACACCACTTAAGGTAATTTTACTCCTCTTTGTTTTCTTGTGCTGTTTTGACGTTTACAAAGGAAAATATCTCAAACAGACTGTTAAAATCTTTTGGCGGTCAAATATACCGTCGAGTCGTGTTGCGTCCTTTTATACGTCATGTAGTGCGCACGAAAAGCGTTCTAATCTGACAGGCGTTTCTTGGAAGTGAGGGACTCGTGCGAGTTTTTTACTGTTTATCGGACGGGAGTAACAAGAAATTTGCAAGCGGTATTAAAAGATACATTTTCAGTTTTTATTCACGTGACAAGAAATTCATCAAGGTAAATGTGAAACCAACGTTTTACTGTTCACTTCGATAAGTTATGAGCGTAAACACGTGTCTGATCTATCGATGCTTGTCTTCTGCTTCCGCGGTCATACGTTCGTGGTTTATTTACGAACTACAAAAGTCCACAACAATAGCGTTTTCCAGGAACTTACTCTACACTTTCTACTCCAGAAATCCCACCTGTGGAATTCCCCCATACCTTCGGATTTCAAATCGTAAATACCCCCCCATACCTTCAGAATTCCATAATCGTGAATCCCCCCTCCCCTTCGGAAATCCTTAAAGCCGTCCGTGGTATGGTATGGATATTTTCTGGAATCGCCCATTGAGATAAAAAGTATACTATACAACTCAAACTCAAAATTACAGGGTACAATGACATTTTAACATTTTTTAAAAAAAACTAAATCCTTATCATGGTATAAAGAAAAAAAGGCCTGCATTAAACATTGAAGATAATAAAGAACTATTGCAACATTGTAAACAATAAGTTGAGGTTACAACTTACAGAATCAACTACAGATTACTACACACCATACTATTAAAATGTCCCACATTCTTATTTGCTCAGACCAAAAAGTTAGAGCAAAACAGACATGACATACTGACATTTTATGAGGATAAGAAAGTTTGCTTAAAGGTAATGTTTCATGGCACAGTCTGCAACAGTGTTTTTTAGTGCAATACAGCGTTGCAAAATTATTGTTGGGACATTGTTTCGAATGGTTACAACATCATTCTAACATTGCAGCGCTGTGTTGTGCTAAGAATCATCATTGCGAATTGTTCCGTGTAACATCACCTTAAAATGTCACAGTTATGCCCTATTAGCCTGTGCCAGGCTCTGGTCAGTGCAGACGAGCGAAAAAGGCGGGTGAGCAGTGGACAAGCAAACAAGAGAAAAACGGGGGAAGAGAGAAGGGGAGACACTTACCCATCTCTCCCCAGCTCCCCCGAGATTTTTGCACAACTTTTCTTGATATGTTTTCCCCACTATCTTGGAGCCTGGAACAGGCTATATACTCCCTATTGGCCAAATTATCACCCCCATTTTAGTCTTTAAGGTTTTTGACAAAGCTAAAATATTATTGTTTCTCTTATTATTATCAACTTACACTTGCAGAGATCTCACAAGAGAATTAGATCTGATTTGCGCATAGACACTCATAAAATCTATAAACAGTAAGTGAACAAACGCAACAAGGTGAGCCTGTAAATTTCGAGAAATTTTAGTCAGTTTAAATGAACAGGGTTAATTAGACTGAAAATAAAATATTACTGAAAAATGAAAATGGATTTTAAACTCTACGTCTTGCCATGTATAAAACAACAAACTTGCATTGATAATTTGAAGTGTGAGTTTTGCAATTATTTTTTTTAAACTACACTCCTACATCGTACATAAACACTTCCTGAGCAAAATCTGGCATGGAAAGGTGAATAATAATTATTAGTAAAATCCAAATAGTGGTCTATTATCAATGCCGCATTCTGATTGGTTGAGCTACCACTAGGTTATATGTTATAGCCCATTAGTAGCAAAAAGCGCCTTCTTTTTGGCGGCAAAAAAGGATTAAAGTCTAGCTTTAATTAGCTAAAGTTGTTTTGTCTCTATATTTTTGACCAACTAGTTGGATTTTACTAAAACAATAATATTCCTCTCGCCCTTATGTCCTCTGAGTCAATAGTCCATTCAGCCTTCGGCCTCAAGGGCTATTGACTCAGAGCCCATTCAGGCTCAACGAATAACTGTTAATGATTTCACACACGGTTACAGTTCTATTCTTATTGAAAACTATGTTATATTGTACATCTACTTTGGAAAAGAGCGGGGAGGGGAGAAAAAATGATTCTGCCATGTTGTTGACCTGAAAAAAGTGTCTGACGAAGTCCTCCATTAAACTAAACCTTTCAATCATTTTTTTATATGAAAATTATGCATTCTTCAATTAACACAGAAACACTAAAATATTGCAGTTAAAAAAATTCTTCACATTCATAGCTACATTGTACCTGTAGAATCATCTTTGCCAGGCCCATTCAACCAACGAGTTATGGTGCATAAGTCTTCCAAAACTTTTTCTGAACATAAAGACAGTTTAACGTCAATAACATATTTCCCCAAAGCCTCTTTGTCAAAGTGAGGGTACATCCAAAATCTTTGATATGAAATAAATCTTCTGTTCTCATTCAAATAAAAGTCATTTTCACAGGAAATTTTTTTCACTTGGCCACATTTATGAGGTACGTGAGACAAGATGGCGTAAGAATCATAATCAGCTAACAGAGGGAGCCAAGTGGTTCTCAAACCCAGGATTGATAGATTTCAATATCTGAAGCCACAACTATCAGGCACCCTGTTCCCTTCTGGCCTTCAAACAAAGTCCAACTAAGTTAAATATTACAGACCTGATAAATGCTCAATTGGTTCTTTCAAAGTATCTGCAAAGAAAAAAAAGCACACAGTTCAACTAATATTCTTTTACAGAGTATGCCTGCACGAGATTCTTGACATTTAAGTTGAGATGAACAAGAAAAGATTGAAGGTCTTTTATTGGTTATAATAATAATTATTAAATACAATGTTTTACCTTCTCCAGCAGCAGCCAACTTGACAATTGTGTCAATTGAAACTGGTTTGCTGTGCCTGTTAAGCATTTGGCGGAATTCTTTCTGTAGTGAATCACGACCATAGTCACGCAAAGAGGTCTAGAATGGAAAAAGAGACAAAAATGATGCTGATTAAAATATAAATTGACAAATTTGCCAATATCACAGAAGTTTAAAAAGTAAAGGTGCACACACGCCAAAGGCCCAAACAGCTGGAGCTTATCCCAGTTTCCTTAGCAAGAAGCATGGCTAGCAGTATTGCTACTCCCCCTCGGACAGGATGCTAGTCCATCGCATGGTTACCCTCCCAGCAGTATGTTGCCGGTACCCATTTATACACCTGGGTGAAGAGAGACAAACTGGAGTATTAAATAAAAGTTCCTTGTTTAAGGAAACAAAGCGACGAGCGAGGGCTGAACCCCAGACCACCAGGTCTGGAGTTCGAGGTGTTAACCACTCAGCCATGTACACATGCCTCCACAGAAGTTTACACATGATTCAAAAATAATATTTTTAAGATTCATGAATGTTTAGTTATTGTGACAAAAATTAACTGAGCACAACAGTTCAGTCAAAATGGAAAAAAAAAAACAACAGTGGTTCAAAAAATAGTATACAAAAGGAATACACTGTACATGAAAATGAAGCAACTTTTAAAGAAGTACAGTTGACTCTCTCTTACTGGACACCTCTATAGGACAAACACATTGGTAAAACAGACACCTAGAGTTGGTCCCTGCCATTCTTAACTCCCTTTATTGATTCTCTCTCTATAGGACAGACATTAATTGCCAAGTGAAAGGCACACCTGAAAATATTTCAACTCCCAGTAAATGAAATAAAATGTAACACAAACCAAGTTGGTCAGCTCCACACAGCTAGGGTTGTTCTGGTTGAAGAACTCAATTGCATCCAATACTCTTTCCAAATTCTTGATATAGGCATCAAGCTGGCCAGTTGGACTGTGACAAACAAAAATCATTAAATTCACCTGTGATACACTGTAAGCAGACTAAACTGTGCAGTAATTTTATTTTTTTAGTTGTGACCGAACAAGAAAGATCATGCTTTGTAAATGAATATATATGGGTCTTCATATTATAAAAGAATTGTGAAAACACAGGTAAAATTCTGAAAAGTTCATTGTCAGACGTCATTTTGTGAAGTTTGACATTTATTTTCTTGGGCTCCCTTAAGAAATTTTCTTTGGTGTTATTAAAGATAACTAATAATCACATCTGTAGCCCTTGTTTACTATTCTGGTCCAAGGTCTTTGTCCTCTGAAAATTACTCAATTTCCTGAAGGATTCAGTCTTAATAACTTTTATGACCCTGCCCCCAAAAGACCCCTCTATTACTAAGGGCTTGAAAAACGTCTTGCCCTGTAGTCTGACACAAGTAGATTTTCTTGCTTGGAAAGTAATTTTTAAAGATTACTTGACCAATGGGCAAAGGTCGAGGTACTTCATCCTCTAACTTAAAGACAAGCAAGAAGTGGCCCCTGGCAAGCAAAATGTGACAGCCGCTTACCTAAAGGACAAACTGGAATTCAAGTTTTTTTTTCAAGTCCTGTTACTTACGCATCTCTTATTACATGTTCAACACTAGCGTAGACGTGGTGATAACTGATCACATGATCCAAACCAGCCAAGGATTTTTCAATATCTATGCCGAGTTAAAAGATAACTCAATTGTTGTCAGTCAAAACACATGACAATTTTATACTAGTAATAATATTGTGGATTATAGAGCACGTTTGAGGTTAGTTAAGAGTATCTTCTGATTGGATGTGTACAGACATGCCATAGACAAAGCAACTTTGATGACATTTCCAAGAGGAATACTTATACTGGATAGATTAATCGTCAACTTTTACAAAATCATGTAAGCTATAGAAAAATCTGTTCATCTTGAAAACTATGTGCAGTCATCATGCAGTCTTTTTAAATTTAACATGGCACCAAAAAGCTACACCATTCTTGTGAAATGACTAAAAATGATAACGGCTTGGTCGGACAAAGTAAAGGTAAAGGCTCGCATGAGCCAAAGGCCCAAACAACTAGTCAGAGCTTATCCCGGATTCCTTAGCATGAGGCATGCCTAGGAGTAATGCTACTCCCCCCTTGAACAGGACGCTAGTCCATCACAAGCTTACCCCCCAGCAATATGTCGCTGGCACCCATTTATACACCTGGGTGAAGAGAGACAAAGAGAGAAAGAGTGTAGCAGATTCTAGTAAAATGTTTAACTCCACTTTTTGATAAAGAATTGAAGCTAAAGTTCTGCTTCATTACATCATATCTTTAGCAATGAGCTTTAGGAAAGCAATCACATTAACTTTAAAGATTTAGGATACTAGCTTGTCTTCGCTGCAAGTCATCAGTCTCCCTATGAACTGGAACAATGGTGTCCTCTAGTTTGTGTATACGCCCTTCAAACTTGGACAAGATATCCAGCTGTAAGATAACACATAAATTATGACAAATGCCTGAAACAACTTCCCTTCAATGATCAAGAAAGATACACTGTTGCACACCATAAACCACCCCTGTAACATTTTTCTCCCTAAATTTTAGCTCAGCAGGTAAGGGACCATTCATGGCTGGTGAGGCAAAAAATATGTGCCAGAGGCACACTTTCCTTGGGGGGAGGGGGTAGTGGCGTGAAGGACAAGGCTTCAACCTTGCTGTGAAATTTAGGAGCCAAGTTCACTGAAATGTCATTCCCTCATTTTAAGACCTATTTTATGCAAATCATCTGTTGTTATATTTAGACAACAATAAATTATTTGAAACGTTTCATTCAAAAAATTTCACTCCGTCTTCAATGCTCTCTTTCTAAAATGCATGGCCAATAAAAGAAAAGCTGTGTATACTTTAGTACACTTCCATATATTTATTCATTACCCTGATCAGCTTGGATCACAACTTGTGTATAATTTTTTAAAACAACTTATTTCATTTTAGTAAACCTTCACTGTGGTTGCAGGCAGTAAGAATTGATGCTTTAGACGGTAAATTTTAACAGTTACTGCCCAATAAGGAGAACACTGTGTAAGCCCCTCACTTACTTATAAGCTTACCCAGTTGTAGGTCCACCTTTCAGTCAACAAAAGTAAGTCCATCCCTGATTTTTATATACCCACCAAGCTGTTGTGCTGGTACAACATTGTTAACTCTGAAACACTGCAATTGAAGTTACAACAATCTGCTCACCATATTTCCTGTAATTTGATTTGTCTTTTCCAAACTCTCCTGAAGAAAAGCCAGGATATTCTTTTCCTACAAAAAATTACAACTCCTGTTGTTTATACAATTTTTGATTTTTTTTATACGGCCTAGATATGACAATAAAATTAATGACCTTTTTCACCTAAAGAAATGTTTCCTTGATCTGAAAACTTTGACAACAACAAAGCACAATAATATTTTTTGCAATGTATCACCTAAAAACATCCCAGAGGGAGGACAAAACAAGATTCAATGCTCAAATTTATTCTCGCAAAGCAAAGGCCATAAGGCCCGTGGAGTAAATTAATGTATAATTTTATCACATGCGGATCGCGCGTGAATCATAGCAGCTTGCAAACTTGGTTGGCCCATTTATATTTGTATATGCATGATGCGATAATGTCCGCAATGCAATGACGTCATCAAGTAGGCATGTGGCAAAGTGGTCGCGAAGCTGATTTCACGTGCAAGGTGCAGTAAGACTGTAGGTTTGAATCCTGGCGAAAGCTCTTATTTTTCTTTGTATATTGCTTTTGTTGCTGTTGTTTTGTTTTTGTTTATACATCTCACTTTTTCCCTTTGGCTTGTTTCCCTTTAGTCTCACTGCTCACCGCGAGATTTGTATGACAACGTATTTTTAGTAACAGAATGGTAATAGGAGAGAAAGGAAGGAAGGTTAAGAGGTGCGAAGTGCAATTTCATGGTGAGCTATTTCCATTTCCCTTAAAATTTTAAACATAATTGTTATTAAAATGTAGCTCCCTCAATTCCCTTTGTATCCAGAAGTCAACTCTATCTAAGACAAACACTGTTAGGAGGTGCACTAAAGATGTCTACCAGGAAGCCAAAGGGTATACTCCCAGTAAAGGCCAATATCGGATAGTAAACTTCTGGATACAAAAAGGAATTGAGGGGGCTACAAAGAAAGGCACAGCAAAAACAGAAAAGGTAAGTAACACCATGGTGGAAATTATCAAAAACATAAGTTACAGCATGATCATTTTAAATGAAAATAGAGAGGAAACGAAATACCTTAGCAAGTTTGTCATCTAGCTGCCTCTTCCTGACCGATATATCATCCATCGTCAACACACGGAAATACTATTTATCAAACTATTATTTTTTGCAATAATTGCTACACATAGCGAGCGTTTATGCGATGTTTTAGACGCATGAAGATCGGCAACAGTTTGACAACACCTCCCACGAAAGCGCCATCTTGGATGTTTTGACCGTCACCTTCTGTCAGCGGTAATGTTTTTAGAACTAGGTGCCTTTTGTAAATGTCACTAAAGAATATTAAAACAAGATGGCGTCGATGAAAACATCCCCTGGCTTGGTCAATTTCTTTATATACAATTCCACTTTTGCGCCAAAAGAAGGAATGGTATGTTATTTGATTTTTAAGCTTATTTCTCGCTGAATATACAACTTACTGCGAAATCAGGGTTGTTAATCAGGAATCAATTGCCTAGAAAAGAAAGTTATCCTTTCAAAATCACAGGAGGAGTATCCATTTTGCAAAACACGTTCCTTAAGTTCTCTTACCGTGGAAAAATACTGTATTGTACATTGTCTGCGTGCAGGCATGTTCTATTTCTTCTGTTGCAAAAGAAATGGGAGACATCAACACACAGGCTATATTTATATGGTGCAGCTTATAAGCCGTGGTATTCGCCTCGGTAATTCATGCCATTGTATCCTGCCAAAGATTAGAAGCTTTTAACTTTGGCAATCTCAATAGCTTTCTCAACAATTTTGTGCAAACACCACCCTTAACTCTACCATCACCCTCACCCTTACTCTTCTCCCTACCCCCACCCTCACTCTTACCCGCACCCACACCCTCGGTCTCACCCTCATTCTTACCCTGAACGTCTTCCTATTCTCCACCCTCACCCTTTACTACCCCCTTGGTCTCACCCTTATCCCCACACTCAACCCACCCTCACCCCTCCCCTTGCCTTCACCCTGTGCTTTTGCTCCAGTGTCATTTTTTTCTGACAATACTAAATTTGCTGTTACAAACTTATATACATAACCATAATTATATTTTATGACATTAAGTTTCCTAAAAAAGGGTCCTGATTTATGAATTTTTCTACGTCAGGAAAAGCAAAAGATTGTCCTCTATATTCCACCTGGAGAGAACATTGACAGGAAGATTAAAAACATAGGACTCTGTGAAGCATTGGTCAAATTTACACAGTAAGATCGAATGCTATTTTACATGCCACATTTTATCCGACTTTTTGTTGTCAATTCTTTGATTCTTTTTAGTGCATAGTAAACAGCAAAAAGGGTTTTCATGAAATCATATGTGGTCCTTCAGTTGATTTTACAATAATGCATAACATATTCTAGCCTGTGAATGCAGACATATTTCCTGTTGTTGCTTCTCCTCACCTGAAAAAGTTACTTTTTGGGAGGAGAGAAGCGATGTCCAGAAATACATCTGCATTTAAAGGCATAACATCTTCATTTTACTGTAGAACATTCTCACCAGACAAGCCTTGTAGCTCCCTTCACACTCAGAAAACAAGGCAGGTGTTTTTTGAAGCAGAACCAGATTTCTGGATGATCATGGTAAGCAGTTGAATATCTTGTTAGGCCAAACCTGTTTTCAGCAGTCATGCACCACTGAAAAATGGCCAAAACATTTAAATAGAAAAGTAGAGATGTTGCTTGGAGAAGTATCATTCACAAACCTTGAGCGATTTTTAGGTCATCTTGTGCCAAAAGTACAAGCAATGAAGGCAAGTGCTGCAAAATCGTAAAATACCAACAGGGACATGGTTTTCTTCCCAATATGTGGAACAATGGTGTTTGGAAATTTAAACTAGGGATAATTATACATTACCCCCACCTCTCCTCCAACCAAAAAGGTCTCTCTAATTCCTCCTTTTCACACACTAGTTTTAACTTGCAGGTGACTGGTACAGGTGCTGCTACAGCTTAAGGTTTTACAATAGGGTTAGGGTCAAAATAATAGGATCTTTATAAGCCACCCTTACAAATAACCATAACCATGTGCATGATCACTGCAATTGCTGAGATAAGCTAATGGCAATAATACAATAATATGGGTGGATTTGCAATCTTTGCATGGTGACATTTTTTGTTGTTTAAAACTAATTTTTTCTTTATAGACTGTCAGCATTCCTTTCAGTGAAAAAATGGCAAAGGATGGGAAGATGATGATTGAATATCATGATGAAGATGTCTTGGTCAGTAGAAGTGGCCCTTAGTAAATCCCAAATAAAAAAATATGTCCACTGGAAAGCATTGTGCTGCATGCATTAATAATTGTACACTTTTAAGCATAATTTTTTTTTTGTATGAAGAATTTCTTATAGTGTTGAAGGCTTTGGAGTTTCCAAAATGTAATGTGATACATTTATAAATATGGTAATTGAATTGTTTACTAAATGTTAATTAATTAATGATAACATAATACAGTGATTAAATATAAGCTACTTTATTTATATAAATTAATATTGACATTTCCTTGCAGGATTCTGTTCTTGATGCAGTATTAAAGCAAGCTTACAAAATGTTCAAGGTATGCTTAGCTTTTAATTCCCTTGTATATATAATGTACATATCAGTGCCGGATCCATACCTTCAAATAAGGGGGAGGCCCAGTCATCCAGACCCTTAGTTAAGGGAGGGGGGGTGGTGGTCCCCTTTGGGCCTCAGTTTGGTCTAAAAACAAGGGGGACCGGGCCCCTCGGACCCCTCCCATGAATCTGCCACTGCATATGTATATAATGTTTGTTAACAATGGTCATTTTGTCATGAAATTGAAAAGAAACCAACTTGTAAAATGTCATTGATAAAATAATTTTTGTTTTCTTCTCAGCTCTTTAATGGTACATTTGCCTATATTATAAAAAGCCACAACCTTGAAGCACTTTGCAAAAGATTAGAACATTTCTACACATCAGTAAGTTTTGTTTTTGACCTATTTTTAACTGCTACGTTTTAATTAATATGGTGAGATTATTATTTTGTCATTCCAACTTTTAAACCTGTGGATGAAATTTAAATATAATTGCTCTAAGATTTTTCAAAAAAGAAAACCTGGACACTATTAGCTAGAAATAAACTAGATTTTTGATAACCTAATTTATTATTGATACAATTTTTTTTGCTTAATATACAAACAATGTACTATCCACAGTTGTAATTCTCTGTATTCTTCTGTATTCCTACATGTAAATGAATTTTAGCTGAACTGACAGTAAGATAACAAGATAGAGACTTGAGATGGACTTTAGGACTTAAATTTTTAGAATCAAAAGTGATGTGTGAGTGAAAATGAAATTATATTATGTTGCATTTTACAATTTTGAAAAATTCTTTTGTTTTCAGTACTTACAGACTTTAAACTTTTCCCAGTTTGATCTGCTGGATGTTTTTTCAGGTACTTACAGCTGTTACCTATTTGGCATTAAATCATTGATATGAATTAGCTGCTGTGGGGCTTGGAAAAAAAGTCCTGTCCACTAGTTTGGGACAAACAGATTTTCTTGCTGGGCAAGTAATCTTTAAACCAATGGGCAAAGGTCCATGCACTTCATCCTCTAACTAAATCATTAACAAAGACAAGCAAGAAGTAGCCCTGGGCAAACAAAATGTGAGAGCAGCTTGCTGAAATGACTAGCTGGTAACTTACATTATTTTTTTTCTTCAAGCCCTGTAACAATGTACTCAAATGCCTGTATTGTCACACACTGTCCAGTCTATAATCCCCAGGTGTGGCTCCTAGAATTCTAAAAATATAATTTTCTTTTTGATTGAATGAATATGTCATTTCTTTTCCCACAGGAATAAATTTTCTTCCAGTGGACAAAACTACCTTTCTAAGGATCCAGTCTTTCATAAATGTGATTGAGCATTCATTCAGGTAAAAACGGGCCGTAACATAATGTACAGACACACCTAGTACAGACACCCAAAAAATAACAGACATACAGTTTCATTTTCTTAACAAAGAGCTCATATATTTTCTTTAAAATTAACCCACTTAAAACAGACACTAGTTAATACAGACAATGGATACTTTTTAAGAAATGGTCCCAACATCTCATAAAAAAATTGCATCAGAGAAAATCCAAAAAACCATATGCAGGGTTGTCACTAAGATTTCGAGTTGCCAGGTAAATCCAACAAGCAGGCAGGGAATCAAACAGCTAGGGATTTCTTTTGGTTCTATTTTTCTGTTATTTTCCAATGAAAGTAGCCGGGGCCACACCCATAGTAGCCAGGGGAAATCCCCAGCCTCTGGCTCTTATTGACAACCCTGTATATGTAAAGTAGATGAGAAAATTCCAGTGAAAACATTTTTTTCACTTCTCACCTTTTTCATGGTTCATTCAAATTAATTTTATGACTCTTTGGGTTTTTGCAGAAACCTTTCAGGTCAGTATGAGATTCTGGGAAAATAGACCGGGCTTGGGATTCATTGTTTTCTATTTTCACTTATTTTCAGCCAAATAAGGTACACAGCTTTTCTATACTCTGAAAAACTTGTCTGGTAAGTCCATCATATGTAGTTCTTGGTAGTAAAGTGATGTTGAGTCAGAGTGATCTTCACTGTACACTGTGAAATTTTAAATGTCAAGTTTGTTTGATTTTTAAGTTTTAAGTAGTTTTTTCCTTTTGCAGGAGTGGTCTTGAACAAGAAGATATGCGCACACTATACAAATACTTAGTCTCAAGTTTGTTTCCTACAACAAATGACCTGGAGGTACTGTACTGTCATTATTTGTACAAAACTTAAGGTAGCAAAAAAAACTTCAAAAACTCATTAATAATTCATAAAGAAACAACAAAAGAAATTAATGTTTAATGAGTGTCTTTATATCTGTTAAAGACCCGACCAAAATAGACAAAAATAACCCTAAATCTAACAAGAATGAGTTGATCTATATCTAACCCTAAAAACTCTCAGTTTCGCCTTGAGTTTTTAATCCCGATAATACACTCCCGCTCATTTTTTAAACTGTACTTCATGGCTATCTAACCCTGAAAATAAATGGTTTTTTGCAGAGTATAGAAAACCCAAGATCTCAAGGTTATGTTGTTGTTCAGCCTAAATCTCATCATGGAAGGTATCTTTAGAAGTTTTGAATCAATACTACCGGTACTCTAAATGCATTTTAGGCCCGTTTGAAATGTCGAACTTTGCTGACATGCTGATTTTAATGCTGATGAACAAGATCTCTTGTTTTTGCTGAGTTGCTTTAGATTGATTAGACACATGTGAAGTTCAATGTTTGAAAGGGGTCTTATGATGATGATGATGATGATGATGATGATGATGATGATGATGATGATTCAGTAGTGACAGTAGTGTTGGTAGTGGTGATCAGTGTACAAAGAAAGTAGTGTCCGATAGCTTGGGGCTAGTGGATTTTGCTATTTTGCCGATGGGCAAGTGAATTTTTTGTGGGATGGAGGGGGGGAGGTTCACATTACAGAAGAACTGTAATCAATGCTCACGAAAAGTATTTTTGTGCTAGTGGAAATGACTTTTGGGCTAATACATGCTAGCTACAGCAACATGCAAGCAGTAAAACTGACTTTCTTTGCACCCAGTGATGATGGTGATGATGATTATGACTACATTTAGCTCATGTTAAGTTCAACATTTCAAATTGGCCTTAATGAAGTGATGTTGACGATGGTCTTATTCACTCATTCACACACTTTTAATGATGACAATAGCTTGATCATATGGAGGTGGGAATGGCTATGCTAACAGTGGCGCTTAGTGGTATGAACAAGATGTTCTACCTTCCTCCAAGATTCCCATTCAGAGGAAGAAAGAAGTACGAAGCATTTTTCCTATTTTCAGATTCATAACAGGTCCTACTGAATTAGGAGATGTACCAACACCAAGGACGCCACCCAAAATATTTGTTAATACTGACTCTGAACAGGAGGAACTGATACTAGTGGTGTATAAGGTATTATAAAAAAACTAAGCTAATGTACTTGTGCTTTCTCTTATTGCTTGAAAATACTGTTGTTAAATATACTCAGCAATGGTAATCTCACGATATAATTAACTGTCAGGATCATTTCTTTAACAAAGTCTAAGCTAGGCTGCGGTGTAAGACATCACTGGGCTTTCAGTTTTCTAATCTCTGCAATAAGTGGCTTATTTCAAGATGATATATGTAAATGTTCCTCCACTTTATACTGTGTGTTTCCATCAAAAATTTCACGATAAATGTTGATTATGTGAAAGCATAAGCAAACTGAAAATGGTTTAGTCACGAGTGTTAAACATTAGCTAAATTCCGTTATTAAAAATAGCCGGCCCTGAAGCTTGGTCTCGTTGATGTATCGGCAATAGGATATTGCAAGTATTTAATTCTAAGTCAAGACATTACGCCTGATGCTTTTGTAACTGAATCCTTGTTTGTTTGTTTGTTTGTTTGTTTTTTCAGGCTTTAGAGGCTACAATATGTTTAATGGTCTCAGGTTAGTGAGAACAAAATGCGTCATATCTAGAGATTTTGTGGAATGCTACAGATATTTTACTGTTTAATAGCAATTTAAGTAGTGTGACAAAAGAAAACAAAGATTAAAGTTATTCCAATTAATGGTACAGTCGATATTCTCTTAAGCAACCACCCAAAAATGGACGATTTATTGGTTGCTTACGAGAATCAAACCACTAGGAGTCTTTGGAAAATTATACAAAACGTCACCTAAAAACTGATCGCGTTCGCTTTGGAGAGGTTCAAACTTTAAGGCTTTGTCTTGAGAAAAACTTGGTGTTTGGATTGATGGTCGCTCTGCACCTGTTTTTTCCGTCTGTGGCTCTTCAAAGTCAACACTAGTTTTCACGTTGGTTTTCACTGGTACGTGATAGTTTCCGTAATTCTGTAATAAACATTCCTCATGTTTGTTTTAGTATAGGAGTCGCCCCACAAACCTCCCCCCCCCTCCCCCCTCCCTCCCGCAAGAGGTAAAACGCCGTTTTTTATGTTTTGTTTAGGAGATGAAAGTTAATCATTGTTCGATATCTACAGGATTGACGTTGGGACTGTCTTATTTTGCGTTTTTTCCCTATTTAGGGCCTTATCCTAGCATGGACCTCTTTAGAAAGATTGATAATTTTATTGGCCCTCAACTTACAACGCTGGCCAGTGTGGTTGGTGAACAAAGTGCAAAGAAGCAGCAGAGGTATCAAGTGGTTAAAGAATTTCCTCAAGTGGATTCATAGACTTTTCGACTGATTGAAAATAGTCCATGTTTGATATATTAAAATTCTAACATGACTCCAAGGCTTTCTGGTAATTTTTCCTTATTTGGTATGCTTATCTTTGTGCTCAAGTCTTTTCTGGGAATTGCGAGACAATGGAGTCGTGAAAAAATTTGCAATTTTGACGCTTAAGCATCGGACTCATGTTAGAGTTTTAATATACTGAACATGGGCTATAAGTGCCTCTAGGTGTTCCGTTCCCACGGAGCCACCTAAACCGTACAAACATTTAGACGCCCAGCCGTTTAAAGTTCCGTGTGAACAGAGCGAAAATGTTGAACAGTCCCGTGTGGACAAAGTGTTCGGTCAAATTTTTCGGTCGGTCGAAAATTCGTCCAGTGTCGTGTGAACGTGGCCTTAGTGGTCGCTTACAGGAGGTGGTCCCTCAGGAGAAAGAAACCACAGGGGGTCTCTTCCGAGAAGATGTCCGAACACATCTACTTTATGGAAGATAATTTATTACGTATGTGCAGACGGATATGTGCAGTGTCATGTGGGCACATTGTACTTAAGTTCTTCTTATACTCTAAGTAGCATAGTTCATACAGCGAACATAGAGATCACAGCATGCGTCAAGTGGTCGCTCACAAGAGATTAAAAACAATGGAAAACTGTTAGTCGCAAAAAGTGGTAGTGGTTGCTTACAAGGCGTGGTCGTTTTCGAGAGGTTCCAACTGTAAGGCTTTGACTGGGAAAAATTTGGTGTTTTGGATGAGTGATCGCTTAATTTATGGGAGACGGTCGCTTACGAGATTTGGTCGCATATTGAGGTTGGACAGTATTTTCATTTACCAAGTGAAATTTCTTTGTTTTAACTAACGCCTTTTTGGACTTAAAAAAACGAAACCCTTTGGTGTTGACGACTGCGACTGAAGCGAGAACAGGAAAAAAAGCAAAAGTTTTAATTAGCAAAACAACAATTTTGCACGTGTATCAAGCATTTTGTACATTTCGTTGCTGTCACTACAAAGCTGTGACGTGGAAATGTCTAATTTCACCGTTTCGTGAAGGACATGAACACAGGACAACGACTTTCTTTTCTTTTCCTGAACTTTGATACAGCCCTTTTGAATTCAACTTCAGAAAACGAGATGGAATAAGGGCGATAAAGCCGTTTGAAGCAGCGAGAATGCGCTTTTTAAGTGACGTTTTTGTAGCCGTCGCTTTCGTTTTTGCTTAAGCTCCCTAATACCGCTTAACAATGCACAGACCACTTTCGCACGACAACTTGTTGCAAGTTGTCAAATCTGATTCAAAAACCCAGTGGGAGAACATGGAGAAGACCTTTGAGCGTCTACGTCTTAGAGAGGCGTGTGCTGGCCCACGAACAGGCGTCTATTCTTTTCGGAACAAACAGTGTAAGGAGGAATGGCCGTTTTTATGAGACACACCGATTACCTGTCTGTTATAACATTGTGCAAACATATGCACTTGCGTCGTAGTTCGTGTAGATGTGTAAGTGTAGCTCATGTCTCTTTTTCGACTCCAGAGACCGATGAATAGGGAGTTTTCACATTACGTTACGGTGACCATATTGGTGTTCCAAAACAACGAAACAGCGGCCATGTTGTAGCATGCCTAACAAGCGTTTCCAGTCGAGTTATTGCACGAAAGTTGGAGCGAGAGCCAAAAAAAAGCTAAATCGCGCGGAAACGCTTGCTTCATAGGTTAGCCATGTTGTTCCAAACTTGAACTCTTTTATTTATGTAAACGTTGCATTTCTCGTTGCCACTTGAGTGAAAACGCTTTTACGACTCTTGCTAAAAGTTAAATGTTAAGCGTAAGTTAGTAAAGCTTAATGTTTACTCACTTCAGTGCTTTTTTGCGTCCTTGATTCATTCCCAGCTCCGACCAGCAGTACCGATATCTGTACTTCAACCACATGAACTTGGCCCAGAAGACTTCAGTCCACTCCAGAAGGTCCTCGCTACCTATCGTTGCTCCTGAAATCATGAGACTTATGGGCGACATAAGTACGGACTTTGCAAGGTATAGTCCTTGGAAATCTTTGTTTTTCAAATCTTTTACAATAAGACTGCGAAAATGTGGCCGCCTTGCTTAGCTTAGCTTAGCTTAGCTTAGCCGGCGCTTACACTTCGGCAACTTCTGTTTCATCGAGCGAACTCTCCAGGAGTTTCTACAAGCTGTTTTTTGACGAACACGGTTTTATTTTTTGGCACGTGCTGCACGTGCATGCGCCCCTATTTTGCACGTGCGTTTACCTTCCAGCTTTGCACGCTTGTTGAACAGTTTTTAAAATCATAACTTTGGCTCAGGCTACTTTCCTCTGTCTAAGTCGAAGCGTCAGAATTTTTATTTTGACGAAGTAAAGACTAGTTTGATCATTACTTTTGAACTGAAGTGGCCCACTTTAATAACTGGTCTATCAGCAGGCATGGTTTTGTTTTCGTTGTCTGTTGTGTCCCTAAAATGAGGAATTACAATTCAAGGCAGTGTAAAATAAAGGTATACAACTTCGTCTCCGTCCAAATTAAATTATCCTGCTAGTAATGCGGAGGCTAAAATTTAAGCTACGTTGATACTATACTCGATAGCTTTTCCTCCGGCACAAAAACCATACTAGAGAAGACTTCTGTTTACACATAAGAACGGTGATTTCGGCGCGATTGCGGTAACGGAGCGAAGCTGCGCTGCGCTGACCTCTAAAGTGGAGAGTCACATATCGGATAGGTGCTTGTGTCGGCACAAAAAGCTATTCGCTATAAACGGCACCCGACTTGCCCTCTTTGTTAATTGTGAAAGCAATAAAGGAAGTTTTTTTGTTACGCCTTTGTAGTTTCCAAGAAGATGGTGAAACGTTTGTGAAGACCATGTCCGATTGTTGGATCGTTGGACGAAAGTCAGATCAGCGGGAATTGTTCGTCATCCTGAACCAAAAGAATGCCAACCTTATAGAGATTGATGGTGAGTGAAGTTTTACGCAGGAAACACCGGTTGTTTCCCATTTACATGGGCAAACCGGTCAGTTCAAGGTTTGGGTAAATGGTAAGCAAAATTCACAAATCATTTCCGTGAACCGATAACGGCTTCGAAAGCCTGAAATTGGTATCAAAGGTGGCTTTTAAGAAATAGAACAGGAATTTCCGTTTGGAATATTCCGACGGGGAAACATGACTACCTTTTCAGATGGTCCATTGTTCCGGGGAATTTTCCGCTGGAACGACCGAAAAAGTCGTGTTCCATTTTCTTTTTAACCAGATTTTCCGGAAACGTTTTGTAAAATGGTAAACAGCCACCGTCATTGAGAAACTGCTTCACGTAGTCTGCAGCCTTTGTATGAATGTAGAAATAAGGGAGTGGTCATTACTTAGCCGGGAAAAGGAGGGAACATGAATTTATGCACAAATTAGGTAGCTTTGGTCTCTTTAATAACGGAAGCGTAAACTGTGAACAACGTCATCAATAACGATTCTAATTTCAAACTGAACAAGCAGCGTTTATTGAAATATTGCACAACCAAGGGAGGGGTGAGAATTTGAATGGCCTCCTTTCATTTGCACCCGCCATCCCTCCCCCTCTATTATGGAAGTAAAGCTAGAATCCCTAAATACGTGTTTACTGTGTGTTCATTTTGCAGAGGAAGTGAAAAGACTGGGTATTACACAATTCAACAACATCTTTTTCTTGGACTAATCTAAAGGAATGAAGGGGAAATCGTTTAGAATCATACTGGCCTCGGTTGTGCGTAACGCCGTCCATTCACAATATCCTCGTGACATAAGCCTCAATGCTTGGTTCTCTCTCTCGCCTTTGGAACTAGATTTTTTACTAGATTCTTCGGACACACTTTTTGGTACAAAGAATAGAATATTTGGCAAAACAGGTTGCCTTGTCTTTAAGCCTCATTTTTGTGTGCGGTCGATGGGTTTTGGGTCACGTGGTTCGAGTCGAGTCGAGTACAGGGACTAGACAAGCAAAAAGGGTGAAACTTCACCTAGGACAGAGCATAGCATTTCCTGTAATATTAAAAAATATATATAAATAGGCCGTTTATGTTGTAAACAAGGGCTCCTGGTTGTAAATATATAAGAATTACAGAAGACCTCTAAGTAAAATTGTGACATGAAAATGCCTTTGTCATTACTCTGACAGAAAACGCTCTTTATGTTATCCAACAGTCGTTAATAAATAGTGAGAGATTCTGAATAACAATTTCAAGACTGGAAAACCGTCCGCTCTTTGACGGAAGAGGGTCATGAAAAAGGAAGCAACAATGAAAGCTCTGGAGCAGCAAGTTGAATTAATTTGGGGAGAAAAACGGACAATTCGGGTGCCTTAAACAGGCGTTTGCAAGATGAATAACCCTGCGAGCAGAGGCTACGTTTTCGCGAAAATGTAGCCTCTGCTCGCAGGGTACAAGATGGCTGAGTATTTGCCAAGATTTTTGTTTTCCATTTTTCTAGACTGAGACGAAGTCAGGAACATAAAACGCAACCACGAATGAGGCTAATATTTAGCCATCTTGAACAAACAAGCTATGTCAATCAACAATTTATTAATTTTCTGTCCAATACAATTTTTTTTGGCGGGACAATGCCGGCACCCCCACCGTTAGCTCATCAGAACCCAGGATTTTCTTTGTCATGTCTGCTCGCGGACCCAGCCATATGGTAAAAACACAAACTGTTTTGCAGTATAAATAACGTTGCACTCTAAAATTGTCGAACGACATCAACTGAAATACAATTTTAAAAATCGCATCAAAATTGTTTTGTACAACAAAGGTGTTACATTTACCATCCGCACATTAATTATTATGCTCTGTAAATTTTAGAAGTAAAAATACTGTTATAAACCACTCTGGAAAAAGTTATTTGAAATATCAACACCAATTATTATAATTATTTTTTCATGAACAATACTTAACAGCTCAGTTTTATAAGTAATAGGGTCAAAGCCGGTTTAAACACTACGATTGGCCAATTTAAAACGATCTGTAAAGGAACAAAAGGACAGAAAATACGTCTCATAAGGAGTGGGATGTGAATGCCTTGACGGCAAGAAGTCACTTTCCAGTTAGTTAAGAGAGCAAGCCTTCTCTTAAACCCGAAACTAATAAATACTGTGATTTGTCGATTTTGACTGAAAGCTTCGACCTCTCTGCCTGTCCTTAGGGGGCTTGAGAAAAGGCGTTTTTGAGTAACCCAAGACAACCAGAAATCAGGGCCTTTTTTCCTTTTAATATGCCTGGAGGCAACAAATCTGCCGAAGATTCACCCGAACGTTTGGGCAAAACTACTGCCCAAGAATGCAGAAAGTCCACTTCCGGTTGACGGGGGTCGCTCAAAAACGTCTTTGCCCAAGCTCCCTACTATTTACACGAAGCGCGCGTGGCAGGCGTTTGAAGGAGCGCGAGTGCATGAAGGGTGTTCTCGCGCAATTTTATTTTCCTTTTCTGTTCCCTTGAAACGTCTGCCACGCGCGTTACCCTGTGAAGAAATATATTCAGTAATGTAAAGTGAAGGTGATTTCCTCGATTAGAAGTACAAAGTCGCATCAACGATGTGGGCTATTGAAACACTTTCACTTTCAGGCACGTTAAAACTTGGACTGTTCACAGCATCTCTGTTTTCTCAAAGCAAACTGGAAGGTACGCGACCAACTACGAGCAAAGCGAGGGCAACGCGTGTTACAAGGGCGACGTGCGTGTTGGGGTCATGCCTAACCCCACTTAAACTTTTGCACTCCACTTTTACACTTGCATCCAGTTCGCGTGCCATCGAATCCGGACAAACTACTAGAAAACGGAGTGTTGTGAACTGTCTAGTTAAAACCAACCATTTTTAACGATAACACCGCGACGTTGAGAGCCTTTCTTCAGCAAAAAAAGGCACATACACTTGAATATTGCCCATAAACCGTGCCATCAAGAAAGCCATACCGTGTACAGTGCTGGACCGGTCGCTTCGCCAACGCCCCGTTCAATGACGTCCTAAGTTGTTCCGCTTAAGAAACGAAACGAGCGCTGAAAATCCTCGAAAAGGAGCGATACACATGTGTATCCCTAGTTCTTTAAGCCGCTGATGAGGGTTAAGAAGTTAGGGAACTGACCAAACACGTTAACGAAACGACTTAAGACTTTAGCGAACAGGACGTTGGCGAAACGACTCGTAGGCGAAAACGACCGTAGCTAATCTCGTCCCCGACAAGAGATCTGGGTACGAGATAAGTGTACAGCTAACTGATTGCCTGTGCCGCAACTACTTCCTCTTGTTCAGTTCTTGGCTTTTTATGAATGAGTATCATTAGCATGAGAATGGGCAGGTAGATCAAACTGAGCCTGAACAGTCTCCGTGCTGATCTGTTATCAGAGTCCTTATAAAACTTATAACCCAGGTAAGCGTTCCACAAGTTCAGCGGTAAAGAGTCCAATGCCAGCCACCATGTTGTAACTCCACACACGGGTAACAGTGTTGTGAGGCCAACTAGAGCCAAACAGTGTCTTAACGTGACCCGGCGACACAATGGCGCATTTGTGACACACATCATCCGATAACCAGCTACATGGAAAAAGATGAGTTACTGAAGAGTTTCAAATTAGCAACGATAAAAAGATTTCCTGTTATGGGGCCCGTTTCTGGAATGTCCCGCCGCAGACGGAAAAGCGCCGAAATCCTTGTTACGGGTTCTAACCTACGTATCAGCAGTTGAGTAAACACTAGGATTGGCCCGTTAAAAAAGCCATTGTCAATTTGCCAATAAGGTTGAAGGGAAATTCGACCGGGGGGGAGGGTACTCCTGGGAATTCTTGGTAGGGGTGTGCAGCCCAGTTCTCCAAATCCTGACCCTATATCAGACCAAAAAATGTCATTTTCCACACCCGTTTTCAGACCAAACCTTGAACCCCTACATTGCCAGCTATTCAACACAAGCAAGCCTTATTTTTTTTCAGTCCCCAACATTCAATTGCATTAAATGGTTTACTCCAAAGTCCAACCTCCACAATGGAATAAATCGAGCAAATAACTCACTTTGAAAGACTTACCTCTGGAGTAATCAGCCCTTAGATTCCAGCTGAGGGCATTAAAATGTGGAAACTGCCAAGAATACAAAATTCCTGCAAGAACCAGTGCACCCATGTCTAGGCCTCCTGTACAGGCTGCCCAGCCCATCAAGGGAGGCAGGGCACCCACTACTGACCCTACCCATGTGTTCAGAATACTCAGTCGCTTCATGGGAGTGTACACAGATGTGTACAGGAACAAAGTGCCAGCACCTGCAAGACAGCATGTAACATTCAGCAACTTCATACCATTCAAGATTCAGTGGTAAGTAAGTATTCACAGATTACGATTCTGATGTGATATTGGTCTGCGAGCAAGCTTTCCATTTTGGGGAATCATGAGAAGTCACATGTCGGCGGCTCGCGAAAGGAGAGGTGAGATCATTATATTTGATTCTGTGTGTTGCTATTTTTACGAAAAACATCTCTGTTGTGTACATCTTAGTGTAAAGAAAATAATTTCATTGGTATCAGAGTCATGAACGTTCAGTCATTAAACACTGACATTCTGGCCTCAGTTGTTCATAAGGTGGATACATGCTACATGGTGCAAAAACAGTCACTTTTACAGCCTGCCATTCGGGCAAGCTGTAGCTAGTATGTACTACCCCACAAGTCATTTCAACCAGCACCAAAACCCTGTTTGATTAGCAGGATTGATTACAATCCTTCCGCAATTTGAATTTCCACAAAAAACAGCACTTGCCTGTCGGGCAAGTTAAGAACCAAAATCACTAGCCCAATAGCAAATGCACTAGCCCCGGGCTATCAGACACAACTTTCTTTGCACGCTGCATGCTACAAGATGTATCCACTGGATTCAGTGGGTAGTGTGATAAGAATCATTGGTGCTTTAATATCCACTGGATAGTGATTACCTGGCCCCAGTTGTTTAAACTCTCCACTGGATGAGTTATAGGGAAGCTAATCCACTGGCTGAGAGCGTTAGCCAACTGTTGAACAACTCGGACCTGGTGGATAACACTATCCAGCTTTTGACCAACTAAGCCCAGATGAAGTTTGAATCAATACTTCAGAAACTTTCATTGGAAATGAAAAGGGACAACAAATGAAAACTTACACTTTGGATGCAATCTTGCCCTTTACAATTTTGGCAATTTACCTCTGTCAATTTCATAACTATCCTAATAGTTAATACAGTAATTCAAATTTCATAAGAGATCTCCGTACCAAGAGCTGCTGTTAATCCATTCACTTGAGAGAGTAGAACAGACATTCCCAACAGACCAGCTGTAGTACCAAAGAGCACAACGTGAAGAGGGCTAACGAAATGAACAATACAGTCAATTAGTGAAGGAAAGTGACCATGTATACTTACCTAGTGATTACATGCACAGTATGAACTGAATTGAGGTCAGCAGTGGCTGTAGCACAGTATTTGAAACCCGCTGTGCTCCTGACATGCAGAAGGACAAAGCTTGCCATGCAACACAGTATTGCCGCAAATGTTATAAGGTCATTTACATTTGGCATGGCAGTAGTAAAACATTTAAAACAGGTTATAATGTTGAAAAAATCCTTAAATATAATAAGAGCCAGTAATAATATTGCAATCATCCCAGTAAAAAGACTTCAAAAAAAATGGGCCATTTGCACGATACCGTCATTTTACTACTATGACCAGAATCCTTCATGCTTTGCTCTCCTGTTTAAATTAGTGCCTCTGTTAATTAAAGCTTGCTGGGATTACCAAATTCAAAACTAGTAAGGGACTGACCATTAGAACACTTATGGGGGTGGCGGGAAAAAATATTCGCGCAAGGGAAAACTAAATGAAAAAAAATTCATGCACACCAATTAATCCTAAGAAA